AGAAATTTTGAGATTGGTGATCTTATTATAATATATTAATTACTCCATGCCACATCAATTCTCAAATGTTAGACTTTTTCTAACACGATTTACATGTGCATCTCAACAATCTCTCGCTCATGTGTGATCTAAATATCAGGTCTGTTTTTCTTAATTCAGGTATCCCCGCAACAACAACGCTTTAGTATCTTTCTCTGAACCGAATCATGAAAGCTGCCATCGGGACCATGTTGCTACACCAAAACGTCCACCTCTGCCTGAAACCATGTTGATCACAAGATTCATTCCTTGATGTATTCACCAATCACCATACACAATATCATTTCCCTATAATTGTAGAATTGGATTGCCAATGGTGGTAACCGAAATTTCTACTAGGAGCGAGAGACGTTTCAAATACAAAGAGCCGAAGACTGCAACCGAAATCTTCGCTGCCAAGGTTGGGGACCGCTGTGACAGTCTAGCAGACTGATTGCAGTCAAGTCGTTGGAGTTTCCAAAATTGCCAAAGTCACTTGCAAGGCGGCTTAGGTGAGTCAGTCGTGCAAGAAGAACTATGCCTGTTTGATATTTGCTGAAGAATAGTCTGGTTGGTCACTCTATGTGCTAAAATTAATCTTCATGCAAAGAAAAAAGAGAAAGCACTATCAAGATGTTCTATTACGACTCTCCATGGGGCAAATTATAATGGCCACCTTCTCCTGGACTCATTGGCTTGAACTAGAATTGGTCGATTCGAGGTTATCTTTGTTGGTGAAGACTGTACTGGTTGTATATACATTGCCTAGTGCAGCTAAATCAGTCGCTGAAACTCTTTCTTGTTTTATTTTTCTTTAGATTAGACAGCACAGGATTATAATCCGAGAAGAGCTAAGCTACTATGTGATCTTCGATTAATTTTTAAAGTTTATCCATACGTTCTCTTAATTTTCCTCGTTGAATACTGTCTGCAGGAAATGTGGCATAAGTTCAAAGGATCAGTCAGCAATCTCATCCTAATATTGCCAAATTTGAGGAAAACTGCAGGGCTGATGCAGAGATACTCCTGGTTTTGAACTCTGGAAAGACTGATTTAGAATACGACAGTTGGCACGACCAGTTATTTCATAGTAAGAATCAGCACTCAACTGTCTTATTTGATCAATGCGCATGTGTCATTTTAATAACACTGTGTAGCGGCCACTTAAAGTCACAGCACGACACCGAGAAGCCACAATTTTCTTATGTTTCAGTGCAGGAATCATCACCCATCAAGTGAGTCTTCATGAAATAATATTATGTACTTCCGTCCAGTGACGCATTGAGCATTCTGAAATTTGGAGATATTGCCTAACCCTTAACTTTCATCACTCTATCGATGAGCTATTTCTCAAGAATTCAGGGCTTTGATTTTTTTCGTGACAAAGGAAATCCAGCAAGTTGTCTAATATTATCATGGTTACCGAGGCTTAAGATGGTAATGGAAGTGGTAGATGATGAGACTAGCAAATATCACCTAGAGGGCAGTGAATATGTGATTTTAATGCAAATTGATCAAATTTAACGTGGAAGTAATTGATCTCAGTCAAAGACTGAACAACGTTAAGATTTTAGTCAGACTTTGAATGACAAACAAACAAATGTGCGATAAAGAGATTTAGGGAATAGAGAATATGCACACAGATGTATAGTGGTTTGGCGTATAGCAAGCCTACATCTACTCTCCCACGCTGACAACCTACTGGCTAGATTCCACTAGATAATCGATTGAGAGATTATACAAATTCTGAGTGATCCTTCTGAACATCACACTATCTCTCTTGATCAAGAATATTTTGGAACTTAGCCGAGCTTGCTATTCGCTGTCTCAAACCAAGAAGCAAATCCCGACTGACAATGCGAGAGATTGGAGACGCCCCAAGACAAAACAAGCAGCCATTGCCAAAACGAGAAATTTCAGAGCTTGGGACTGATCATATGCTTGGTCGCACAGAGGTTATTGTTGAAGCTACCGTTGCCGATGCTGATTGTTGAAGATATCGTTGCCGATGCTGATTGATCTTAATTGATCTTGAATGCTACATTGGTGGAAAATTAGAATATTGCATATCAGGCAATCTTAGGGAATCTTTTTTTCTTTATTATGTATATATATTTTCTTTCCCTAATCATCTAGACTTCTTGTACTATAAATAGGGCTGTAATTACACATTGTTATGTATGAAAGCAATACACAATTCCAATCTTCAATCGCTTTCCATCCTCTAAACTTCTGACAGTTATGTGGCTTTCTCTGCTGCCTATGGTCTCTTAATGTGACCTGCTTGCTCCTGTAAATGTCAGTGAAATTTTGCATTACAATTGTTTCCCCTAAAGGAGAAGATTTAGCATTAGTTTGGAGGAGCCTGAAGATCATTTCGAGGGCTTTGTACATAGTTGAATGTTCTGACTATTGTCACTCCATGCAACACAAAACATGGAGAATGTCTGCACAGTGGGGGCTTGGACGCTTTTTTCCTGGTTTCTTGTACTTACACATGGGAATATTTTCTTTGTGACGTGTAAATCTTTCTTTTCAGTTCCTTCCACTTCTTTAGGCAATCATTATCTAAAGAGATGCGATCCATTCCCATCTCCGGCTTTATCGTCAAAACAATTCACCAAACAAATGGCTCTTTGTTAATTCTTATTCTGCAGATCGTAGTCGCAGCAGAAGGTGAACAAAAGTGGCGCTTCAATAATCCTCTGCTTCTGTCTTTCTATGTAACTTCCTTAAAGTAACTGCAGCTGAAGTCGATGTTCAACTGTGGTTAGCAAGAGATCAATGAATCTCGGTCATTCAATTGACCAGGGACAGGATCTATGAATCTGGTTTACCCTTTCACTTGGGAGTTACATTCAATGCTTCAAATTCATCTATCATCAGAAGGTTTAGCGCTCTCCTACATCCAACATTGTTAGCTATCAGTTCGATCTTTGTTCTGTTGTTTGTTCAGGGTTCGAGCTTTACATCTTTGGTTCTCTGGCTCTGATGTTCAATATCGTGATGTTTCGAGCACAATTGGTCGTTTTGATTTAGTTTGCGTCGTTGCTCAGAGGACAAACTGCACGCCCTGGCACTCAGTTGTTAGTGATTGTGGTCACACTTCTTTGCGCTATTCCCCGCTGGAAGATTTTCATTAGATACTCGCCTCTATCTTGCCGATGCCAATTTATGATACTTTTTTTCCTGGAGAGGTGACATTGTTACTTCATTCTGAATTAGCTTGATCATCTTCAATCAATTTTATGCCTTATCTAATTCGAAGTAGATTCCTTGGAAAAACAGAGCTATATACCGCAGCATTGGGAGCTATTGAAGCCAAAAAAGTTTTCTTGAACTTGCTGTTTTCTACTCGGGTACTTTGACACGTCGAATATCCAGGGGTTTCTGCTGGTTTTCGGAAAGCATTCTCAGACTATTGAACCGTAATTAAGAACGACTCAATCCCAAAATTGTTGGATGGTTTGACTGTTGAACGTTATTCCAATTGGTGCACGGGATGGATTAGTCTTGATGGTGCCTCAATTGTGTTCTTGATGCTGCAATACCAGTTCGAGCTAAAGTAAGGAAAGAAGCTATTAGAAGTGGTTTGTGTACCAGCCCAGGACCAATCGGTCCTAACTATTGGTCTCGAGTATCTGCTACAAATGGAGAACTGGTTTGTCAGTTTTAAGTGCTTGGAAGGAGTTGAGGAACAAAAGCATGAAAGAGCAGCTATGATCGGCTTCTTCGGGTTTGGGCGGTACAACGCGGAATGCTCGATCATGTTCGGAAAGTTTGCTAGTCCGATGATCCGAGGTTGAGCGGCCCGAATGTCGACCACTTGATTAAGTCAAATTTGGTCGTGATGTTAAGTCTTCGTTTGTTTTGCGGAAAATGAATCATTTGAAAAATATTTTCCTAAAAATAATCACTTATATCGCTAAAAATAATTAGTCAATATAAAATGTTTTCACTATCGACAATAATTTATTTCTAAACATTTTCGTAGACGATGAAAATATTTTTCGTTTATTTATTCTTGTAAGCTATACAAGCGATCATTTTCAGAAAAAATGGTTTTCAAATCATTCATTTTCGTAAAACAAACACACTATTTGGTTTCATTTGTTTCGTGGAAAACAACTTTTAGGAAAATGTTTTTCGGATTTTCCGGTGTTCATTCACTGGAAAATAAACTAGTTAAGGAAAATATTTTCCCTAAATAGAAAAGATACCTTCAAAAGTAGGAAAAATGTTTTCCTCTTTTTGAAGAGAGGAAATTATTTTCCCTTCTCTTTCCTCTCTACACTCCTTCAAATTCCTTTTCTTTTTAATTATTTTTCTTTTTCTTTTTCTTTTTTTATTATTTATAAATCTTTTCTTTTCTTTTTTTCTTTTCTATTTTTCACTACCGGTCGCCGACCACAGTGACGACCAATGACCGGCCATAGGCGAGGGACGAGCTCGCTTGTGGCCAGCGAGCGAGGCCAAGCTTCACTAGATCTGGCGAGGTGAGGATTCGGCCTCGCTCGAGGCCGGTGAGGCAAGGCTCCACCTCAGGCAAGGCTAGCAAGCGCATGCCTCACCGATCTCGAGCAAGTCAAACCTTGCTAGATCTAGTGAGGCGAGGCCTCGCTCGAGGCTAGCAAGCTCAAGCCTCGTTGGCCTAAGGTAAGCTCGTCCATCACTTGTGACCAGTAGAGAAAGAAAGAAAAGAATCAAAAAATAGAAAAGAAAAGAAAAGAAAAGAAATATACAAATTTATTTAAAAATTCAAAAAATAAAAATAATTAAAAATTCAATTTTTTTTTAAAACTTATCAAAGGGATTGCAAGGAGGAAAATCAAATCAGATTTTCCATACCGATTTTCCAGGTCATTTTCAAATCTTAGCCAAATATCGTAAATATTGTCATTTCCTTGGAAAATGACTTTCTGGAAAAAAAATTTCAAAAACGTTACATTTTTCGCGAAACAAATGGAGCCTTCGATAGGCTACTAGTTGAAATGAAAATAGATACCAAAAATTAAAAGAAAATAACCAATGTAAGCCCCAATAAAAGTGATGAACAATTTGTAACCCCTAGAGGTGTAAAGCACGTCGTAACCCCCAGAGGTGTAAGGCACGTTGTAACCCACAGAGGTGTAAGGCATGCCAGTGGCAAGCAACCAAGTGCCACCGGGGATCAAGTTCCCAACGGTGAACATCGAAGCCTCCATTGCGCTTGTGATGACATGGTAACCTGCCCACGTGACCCTATATGTGGTCAATGACCCGGAGCCCGTGTTCATATACTCTCCATAGTACAGAGTCATAAGGGCAAAGTCACCGTCCCACTCCAACCAGCCAGTCGAGTCAATTAGGCTATCAAGATAAGTCATCATGAAAATAGTTCTTGAATATGCTTGCCACGGCCTCCCGAGGTACGTCTTCACTGAGCTTTGAACCATTATCAAGTCTGAAGCTGCGGTGACTTTGCAGTTTTGGATGGAGATGCCAGTGTTCTGGTTGGGGTCAGTCCGACCCTGTGCAGTGATGGTATTGACCTTGTTAGGAGGGTTTCTGGCGTAGATGTTGCAGTTCTGGAAAATGACGGCAGCATTTCCAAAGATGAAATCAGTAGTGCCATAAATGTCGCACTCTCTATAGAACTGTCGCCCGGAATGAACATGAAGGGTGTCTTGATATCCCTCAAAGCCACATCGATAGAAGACTAAGAGGTCGGAGCTAGAACGTAGAGCTACTGCTTGGTAATTTGCAGCGCCGGCGGTGTTACGGAAAGTGATGTCTTGGGCAATGTATCCGTCACCATCAACAGCTGAAACTCAAGATGAGAAATTATTGGTACACGTAAGTCTACTTGTACATGTATTCTAAACCAGAAAGTATCTTAGCAAACTAAACAAGGATCTCTAGATGCTTAATTTACTACCTCATATAACCAAATAATTGTACAACCATGTGCACTAAAAGCAATCAAAAGGCTATTAAAATTTATTTAAGAGTAGGACTATTGTCTCATTGCTTTATTCTAAAGGCTATTGTGTAAAATGATACTTGTTAAAAGTTATGAATATTGTATATGTGTAGTGTCTTTCACATGGTTGGTGTACCAAACTAAGAAATGCTTTAGTATATATGTAGCCGTTGACACCTATTTTTTAATTGCCCAATAGGTCGGTCGCGACAGTATAACCTTATCCGATCTCTATTTATTTTTTTCCCTTTTAATTCAGGAAAAAGAAGGTTGGTTCGTACTTTAAGCATCTTCATTTTCAAGAAAATAGAGACATGCTTAAGCAGCTTAACTAGTTGAAAGATTCGTGTTGGCTTTATTAAGAAAGGATGACCTTAATTCTTTAAATCGTCTATTCCACTATTTATTAGAGTAGGTCGTTCAATATCATAAATAACTTAGATAATACAAACTTGCCGACAGTTGCTGAATTGAAGGTAGTAGATCCTCCACCGGCACTTTTGCTTCCGGTAATTATGGTCATTCCAATACCATCACCCACGAACACAATGTTCTCCAATTTTGATCCAACTTCAACATTCTCTTCATACGTACCGGCCTTGATATGGATTATGTATCTTGCCATGCCAGACCACTCCGATGCCGCGGTTATAGCTTCGCTAATTGTCTTGTAGTTCCCGGAACCATCTTGGGCTACCACAATATTGGCCATAGATGATACGGATGAAGACTGTAAGAGCTTTCTGTTGCCAGGTCTTAGCCAAGTAGGGAACTCATTGGTGTAGTTCGGCGTACCGTAGGATGCATAGTTGGCGGACAAAGCGTTGCTTATCAACTTGGAAACGTTATTCGACATCAAGGGCAATATGTTGTCCAAGATGCCAAGCTCGACGAACCCGGCCCGACAAGTCTCAAGGTTGGTTAGGGCAGTGCTCAACCAGGTCTGCACGTCATCCTGAGTGCCCTGGTGATTGACAGTCCTGTTTAAGTGGTGGACCGTGTGCTCATAAAGCTGGAGGCAGTCAGTCCATGCGGCCTTCTCGCGCTCGTTGCGGCACCTAGAGCCTAGCGAGTACGAGTTCGTTCGGGCGAGCTGGGCTCTTTGGAGGGCAACTTGCATTGAGGCCCTGAGGAAATGGGATTTCCGCTTGAGAGGGGTTTGCTTAGGATGGTAGGTCAAGAAGTACTCACATGGTTGTGGGTAAGGCATGTTGCTGCACCATGATTTCACATCGCCAGAGGAATAGCTGGAAATGGTTGATGTTAGCAAAAGAGGCCAAAAGAGAAGGATCATGAACTCTTGATGAAAACCCATCATCATTGATCGTGTGTGTTGCTAGCTGGAATTTCGATAGGCCGAAGATATGGACGTAGAGATGAGAATGTGATGAGAGAATTGGAGATTGGTGATCTTGAATTGGGGTGCTTCATTTGCCTTGGATTGATCCCTCTATTTAGAATTGAAGGGCAAGTGGCATGCAGTTCCACCACGTTTCCGGGAACCTTCGTTTCGATTATTGAATTACGACCAATTGAATCTCTGCAGTTGGAGTGTCCAGCAGTGTGAAATGAACATACTTTGTCCCTTAAGCTACTAACGTTCTTTATGGGATATTATTTTTATCCGATACGACCAAAAGCAGGTAGGCATATGAACATTTTTTGTTTCATGAGCATGCGTCACTGCGTTGCTTTGTTATTTCCATTGGCGGACAAGTACAAAATATTGTGGTGGTTGACATGATTTTTTATTAATATCCTTTTACATGCATATGCATGCACGAGGCAGTAATGAGTGGGGGGGGGGTCTTTTTGTGCATCTTTCCTAGGTTAGAATATTTTGAATCAACGCTGCATTCTTTGTGAGAATGACTTTGCTTTTGGACAAAAGGTGGGATCTCAATCTCACAATCAATTTGGCCTTTATACGAAAATATTAGGGCAAAAGTACACTATAAGTGCCATAACTTGTGTACGATGATCACTTTGGTACCATAACTTTTTTTCGGATCACTTTTGGTGCCAACTTTTTGAAAAACGATCATTTTAGTGCCAATGCGACGTGGCTCGCCGGAAATCCGATGTGGCGCCGACACGGCTTGCGGGAGAGGTCCATCAAGCATTAAAAACCAAAAACGACGCCGTTTAGCCCGCTGACGTGTACTTTTTTTAAAAAAAATTATATTATATTAAAAAAAAAAAAAAAAAAGAGGCTGCAGTAGTAGCGAGGGAGCCCTCGCCGCTGCTGCCGCCAACCCACCACCGCCGGGAAGGGCCGGCCCCGGCAGTGGTGGTGGGTGCTGTGGTCGGCGAGGGTCGCCGGCCCTGGTCGGGGTTCGGCGACCCTCGCCAAGCCTAGCAAGGGCTGGATCCGGCGAGGCGAGACCTCGCCGTCGCGACCCGGGCGACGGCGAGGTCCGGCCTCGCCCGGCCGAAGGCGAGGCCGACTTCACCGTCGCTTGGGTCGCCATGGCGAGGTCCGCCTTGCCTTCGCTGGACGAGGCCAGACCTCGTCGTCGCGACCTGGTGACGGCGAGGTCGGCCTCGCCTTCGCTGGGCGAGGCGAGACCTCGCCGTCGCGACCCAGGTGACGGCGAGGTCTCGCCTCGCCGGATCCGGCCCTCGCTGGGCTCGGCGAACCTAGCCGGGCCGACGATCCTCGCCGACCATTGCGCCCACCACCGCCGGCCCTTCCCGGCGGTGGTGGGTTGGCGGCAGCAGCAGCCCTCGCCGCTGCTGCAACCTTTATTTTTTTAATTATTATTATTTTTCTAAAAATTTAAAAATTCGAAAAAAAAGCCACATAATTTCCACGTGTACAAGTCAAACCGTTTTTTTTAAATATAAATGCCAGGTCAGCTTTTTGGCCGGAGTCACTAAAGTGATCTATTTTCCTTCGACTTGGTACCAAAGTGATCCGAAAAAAAGTTATGGCACCAAAGTGATCGCCGTATATAAGTTATGGCACTTATAGTGTACTTTTGCCAAAATATTAGTGAGGGTAAGCTTGGAAGAAAAAAAAGTCATTAAACCCTTGGGGTGGCATTTTCATAATGTTGAATTTTTGGCTTTAGGATTTTTGGGATTATGTTAGCAAGCACCTCAACTTTGGTACAAGAGCCTTGGGAGGCCCAAAAGGCTTTGGAAAAGCTTTCCCAAACGCACAAGGCTGGCATTGCTGTTTCAACTCTAGGATCGAATAAAAGCACGGTTTGTTATGTTTATCTTTGAAGGCAAAAATTAGAGCATTATAATTTTGTCTTTTCAACTACCTTAAGTCTCTTCCTTTGGAAGAGCTTGTCTCTGCCCCTCATGGTGGTAGTTTCATAAATCTTTACTTTCCTTTTTAATCCTAGCCGTCACTACTCCATGTTGGGTTCATCAACGAAAACAACACAGCGGAATATAGAACCCTAGACAGGATCCATGTGTATATTGAAATCGAAAAGGAATTTCGATACGTACCTTTTGCAGATCGAAGATAAATCAGCAACTGATTGTGTCTGGATGAGCGTCCCAAGTGTTGCGCCTCTACCGGTATCCACACACACGAACGGAATTCTCCAACGATCCACGTGCTAGCGAAAGATCTTGAAGTTCCTCTTCTTGAACGCCTTTTGATTTTCGATACTCTATCGAAAAACCCTAGACAGAGAACGATTCTCTATCTATTTATACAGCCTCATTATCTAGCGGAATTAAAAGAAGTGGGCCGGGCTATTTGGGCCCACCAAACCGTCCATCTTCAATCGTACGTTTAATCGTTATCTCATAACGCGCACGACCGCATAGATAATTTAAATAGGAGAATAAATTAAAATCTACTTCTTAAGTAGATCAAGGCGCACAGACAATATTAAGTCCGTTCGCTATTGTGTGCGACCCTGTAGGTTCACTAAACATTATCAGTGTGCCCAAAACTCTTTTGGCCCACAAGTCATAAGCGGTCTCTAGCAAGACATTATGACTACCTAAGTATAGTGAAGATTGGTTTTCCGACACAACCTAATCCACAACTAATATTAGAGTATCAACCTTGATTGATTCTTAGGGTAGACCACTAACACTCCCCTAGCCGTTCTTCAATCTCAACCTGTTCTTCCTCACTCGCTAGCTTCTGGTTTTTGTCTATTTTGATCTCTGTCGCCATCTCAGCAGCTAGAACCAAATGGAAGAGTTTGTGGATGGTCACCTCGCTCTGCAAGAGATTAGTACACTCTGATCACAAAATGAAGTAGCTGTAATGGATTGAGTCGTGTCGAATAAAAAATTAATGGAATGCCGTCTCACTCGCTTCGGGAAACTATATACAAACCTAGTATTAATTTCTTAGCCTTTCTGAATATGATGAAGAGAGCTTAAAGGATTGAAAATGTAGTCTCGGCTTGCTTAGTTAGATTCTGCCTTCTTTGCCTTTCCTTTCAGATCAGAAGTGGAAAAAGACAATGCTAGGAGGTGGTCTATGGTCTTTCTCAAACCACGTATTAATGCTTAAGTCATGGGAGCCTAATACACCTCCCCATTGCTATGAGTTTTCTATTTGTGCTCTCTTGGTCCAAATCCATGAGATGCCGTATATAGAGGAAGCTGTTCATAGGGCAGCACGGAGTATTAGAACAATTTTAGAGGTGAAAATGGAAACGAAAGGATTTCCCTCCTACAAAATAGGAATAAGATGCAGTTGGATGCTCCATTGAAATCTGGTACCCTTACCAGTCTCGAAGGAAAGAAACGATCGCTTGATTTTAAATATGAATGTGGTAAGATGGGTCATTATGCGAAGTATTGTGATATTCCATTTTTTTTTTTGGTCGAATTGTGAGATTCCTCCATGAAGCAAAACTTAATGCAGAAAAATGAGAATTGTTTTGGGCAAGGAATTAGAGCAGAAGTTCACAAAGCTAGCCCTTTTTGAAAGATCTTCTCTGCAACAAAGGTTAATGAAGATGAAGAAGAAATAATTCCGGTGACCCAGTCAACAATACTCAAATCGGGAATTTTGTGAGGAGGACTTCTAGCCCTATCAGAATGCATATAGCAGATCTGGAGGCCACAACAGCTGCAGTAGAAAGTGGAGCAAATAGAAAGTACACACAGGGAAGTAAAAAGCTAGAGACTGAAAGTATGCCAAGGCCAGCATTGAGGGTGGAACCAATGGTGGCAGAAACCCCAAAGAAAACTTGTAGGGGTCCTAAATCCCCAGCATATAGAAAATTGAGCAGACATAGTCCTTCTGGAACTCGATTATGTGGTTTCAATGCAACTGATGGAACTCATATTTTGGATACTCCAATCCCGGTGTCTAACGATTCAACTAAAAGGGTTTCGGTGGCTAACCATAATAAGCCATCGGATTATAAATTAAATTTTTATGCTGGAATTGTTAGGGTTTAGGCGCTCCTCTGACAATCAAGGCTTTACGAGCCATCATGGCTCAGGAAAAAACTAGTGTGGTATTTCTAATTGAGACAAAGAATCAGAAATCAGTGATCCAGAGGTTGAAAAAGCTTTTTAAATTTTTAGCTTTGTTTTGTGTTTTGTGGTAAATCCTGTAGAATTTGCAGGGGATTTGGCTGTTTCGTGGAATATAATGGTTTCTTTAAATGTTAATGCTGCTTCTGAGGAGATTATAGATCTGATTTGTGAAGATATTGAAGTAGACAACAAATGAGACTCACTTTTGTTCATGCGTCAAACATATATCAAGAAAGACAAACTGTGGGAGGAATTGCAAAGAATGAGTTCCCTCAATCTTCTTCCTGGAGTTTGTTTAAGAGATTTCAATAAAATTCTCTACCATTGGGAGAAAGTTAGGAAACATATTGCTGAAAACTTTCACTTAAATGCTTTTCGAGAATGCTTAAATGCTTGTTCTGTGATGGATATCGAGTACAAAGGGTGTGCATACACATGGGCAAATAATCGACAAGGGGATGCTTATGCTAAAAAGCAACTAAATAGGGTATTATAAGTAACATTGAATGGAGGTTGTTGACACCTATTTTTAATTTGCCCAAAAATTAATCACACAAAATTTAGGAATTAATTTTCTTTAATTCCTAAAATAAAAAATATTTCTATTTCAATGCATTGCATATAGGCATTAGGTATATTTGCATTATTAGGGCCTATTTGAGCATATTTTCTTAATTAATCCTTAAAAAAAAAAAAAAACCGAGTCGGGCCGGGTCGGGGTTGGGCCGACCTGGCCCTTTTCTTTGTTCTTCCATTCCCCCAGCATGGGCTCAGCCCACTTTTCTTTTTCTTTTTCTTCCCGCGCGAGCTGGGCCCGGCTCCCTTCCTTCTTCCTCCTCGCCAAGCCGTCGTTCTCCTTCCCCCTGTTCTCCTCTGTCGCTGAGCAGAGGCGACAAGCGGCTGAGCGCGGCTGCCCCGTCCCCATCCGGCCAGAGCAGGATCGGGGCAGCACGCCACAGGGACTGGCCATTAAGGCCAGTCCCTTCTCCCCCCGTTTCCCGGTCTCTCTCTTTCTCTCTCTCTCTCCTTCTCCTCTCTGTCTCTGCACATTGAACGGCCCCCCTGCTCTGCACCGGCCTGCCATAGCCACGAAAGTCGTGGGGTGGCGTAGGCCGGTGCAGGCCATCGTCATGCCGACGCGGCCGGGCCCAAACTCGTCGTCGTCGGCTATGAAAGATAGAAAGAGAGAGAGAGAGGGTCGGCCATTTTTGGAGAAAAACACAGAGAGCGTGAGAGTGTGAGTCGAGAGAGAAAGGGAGCTTCCGGCAGCCACCGCGCCTCAGCTTCAGCCATCCATCCCCACCGCCGAGCCGACGGCGGCGACACAGAGAGCCGGAGAGGAGTCGGTCGGCCGTTTTACGAAAGAAACAGAGCAGAGAGAAGCCGGGAGAGAAAGAGAGAGATTGAGCGAGACAGAGAGACTGAGAGCTCTTCCGGCAACCATCGTGCTCGTACCGCGACCATAAAAGACCAGAGAAAGAGAAGAGAGGAGTCGGTCGGCCATTTTGAGAGAAAAACCGAGAGAGAGAGAGAGAAGAGAGAGAATAGAGAGAGAGAGAGAGAGAGAGCGAGAGAGAGAGAGAGAGAGAGACCGCAAACAGAGGTCATGCCGGAGCCAAAAGAGAACCAGCAGTGGTCGTCGACGTCCCCAGACCAGCCGTAAGCCCCTCAGAAGCGTCGCCAACCGGTGAGCCTCCGGCCGAGAACCACCTCTGTTTTCCCCTGTTTTCCGGCGTGGTTGGGCCGGGACTCGCGCCGGCCGTTTCGCGCGAATCCCGGCCCATACGGACGTCGGTCCCGGTCCCTGCTCACCGTCTGAAGCGAACCCAAGCCGCTGGAGTCGACCGGATCGCCGGAGGAGGTCGGAATCCCCCGTTTTTCCACACGCCCGCAAGGCGTTCGACGAAATGCCTCAACCAGGCTGGTTTTTGTTCCATCGCCGGCCGGCGAACGGTGGTCCGACGGCGGTTCAGGTGAGTGGCACAGCCCAGAGGCGATCCTAATCAGGCAATTTGAGGGCCGGCGCTGGCCTAGGTGGGCCGGCGATCGGCCAATTCTGGCTTCGCCGGCGCCCCTCTCCCCGCGGGTCTGTGAGTTCGGGTCGGATTCGACCCGAATCAGTAGATTCGACCCTGGTCAACGACCGGGTCGGATCCGTTGACTCGGGTCGGTTCCGACCGACCCGGATCAGCAGATCCGACCCGGGTCGGTTCCGACCGACCCGGATTAGCAGATCCGACCCGGGTCAACGCCCAGGTCGGATCCGTTGACCCGGGTCGGACCTGACCGACCCGACCCGGTCATTATTATTTTTATTATTATTTTTTAAAAAAATAATAATTAAAAAATTTTTAAAAAATTAATTAGTTTTAAACAAAAATTTAAAAAAAATTTCTTTCTTCTGAAAAAAAATAAATTTTAAAAATTTTTTGTTTTATTTTTTTTTTGTACTTTTTTTTTCTTCTGTACTTTTTTTTTTCTTTTTCCCAAATTTTTTTTTTGGGGTTTATCTAAGTGTTTTAATTTATGGTTGTATTATTATGCATGCTGTTATAATTGCATAATTTACCATGTTTAAATTAGATAAGCCTAGGATTGCGCGATAGTATTTTGTATGTTAATTTTATTACCGTTGTGTTATTATGCATATTTTTGATACAATTGCATGAACTGTTGTGTTTTGAATGTCATCTGACTTAGTTAAAGTTGGAACCTTCGGCTGCATGAATTATTGTGTTTTTTACTGCTAATCGTTTCTGATTATGCACTCGCTTGATCACCTCACATGTTAGGAGAAAGGTCCTAGAATCAATCCAAACTGCCTGATAAATATTTTAAAAAATGAACAAGGTAAAATGGTACCGAAAGGGCATTAGTTATCCAACTAGTGTAACCAAGTCCCCGAACTCAGTTAATCTCTGGTTCGCAGGAATAGGGTGATTCTCCCATCACCCTATTTGGGTTTCTAATCGGCCCACCCCAAATCGATTAGTGGCGACTCCTTGGTATAAACCACTTGCATGTTAAATACTTAAACCCTAAGTCGCGATATGGTATGGGCTTGGGAGGGCCCGAGTTAAGTCATAAACCTAGACTTAGCACGTACCAGGCGAATCCTCCCTTTTTGTATGTTTTCAAAAAAAAGCTCGGGAGTTCGGTCGCGACAGAGGTTGACGTTCTCAGGCGCTGAAACTTATGCACTTCCTGCCATTTGGTCAGATTACAGCCCAATATTGCTTTCTCCATCGGCTAATCAGTAAAAAGTCTCGAGCTTTCTGACTTGAAGATGGAGAGTGGAAGGAAGTTGTTAAAGAAGTATGACATTTCTCAACTTTGGAAATTGAATTTTTAGTGAAAAAACTGTGCGCAGTTTCCGTAGCTTTGGCTAAATGGAGCAAGAAGAACTTCTCCAATTCCCATTGCCAAATTAACTTTCTCAAGCAGGAAATCCAGAACATCATCAACAATTCCAGAGAAGCTTTTGAAGAAAAACGGTACAGAATCTTAAAGAGGAAGTAGAACGTCTGTGGAAGCAAGAGGAGATGTAATGTGGTATAAGGTCTAGGATTAATCGGCTGAAAAGATAAATATACAAAAAAATTTCATTCCATAGCCATCCAAAGGAGGAAAAGAAGCAGAATTTCTAGGCTGAAATCTGCAGAAGATGTGTGGACCAAAGACCAAAGTCAGTTCAAACAGATGTGTGGAGTTTTTTCAAGACTAGTACAGCTCTATGGATCCTCAAAATTGCCATCCTATTTTGGATCTTTTCCCTTGCTTGGTACAAGATTGAAATGTATCAGTTTATAATAGCAAAGGTGTATATGGAAGAGGTGAAAGATGTAGATTTTTAACTGGGAGCTTCGAAAGCACCGAGACTAGATAGATGGCTTGAATGAGTTATTTTTTCAGCACCACTGGGAAGATATGAAATTAGGATGTATTAGCTATAGCGAGAGACTTCTTTAACTCTTATCCAGAATTGAATAGAACTCACATCTCCCTCAAATCTAACTCTCCTAATCTTGAAAAATGAGAGCAAGTTCATCTCAAAGATTATGGCTGATAAGCTCAAGCCCTGGTTGCCAGATTTGATAACCATAGATAAAGTGCATTTGTGAGTGGAAGGCCAATTCAAGATAATATCTTGACAGTATAGGAGCTCCCGCACCAACTAAGAATTAGGAGGAGGACGAAAAAATTCCAGCCAGTCCTAAAGCTAGATATGCAGAAGGCCTATAATCGAGTCGAGTGGGATTTCTTGAAGGCATAAATGCTAAAGATGAGAGATGGCTAGCATGGATAAGGCAATGTGTCACAACAATGAGGGAACCGCTACCTTTCTTCCAACCTTCCAGGGGCATTAGACAGGGAGGCCCCTCTCATCTTAACTGTTTATTTTGGTAGCTAATTTCCAGTTTTTCCTAATGAAAAATACAATAGATAATGGTAGTATAAAGTCTGTCTAGCTGAACTGATTCTACCCAAATCTATCTCATAACTTCGAAAAGAAAAACGAAAGTCACATCAACCCAAACCCTAAATTCGAATTCGCCATGTCAATTTACTCCCTAAACGAAGATGATCTCAATTCTCACATAATCAACGGTTCTCCTCGCCATGCTTGTCTACCAAACTAGAGAGTAAACATAATCTCACCACACCAACTCCATATCATTCCTTGTGTTTACACAGTATTTAGAAGGACTTAAGAAAATGACGTCTAATCTACCCTGATAGACCCACAAAGGTGAGGCTGATACTTGCAGTACTTTGCTTGTTGCTCATCTATACCGTTTAGTGTTGATGTTAACTTGCAAGCAATAGAAGCAGTACTTGAATTTGAAACGATCAATATCAAGTAAAAGCTTGCTTGGTAGAGAACTATGCTTTGCGGGAGTCTAATCAGATCCGATTCAGCAACTGTCTTGGACTTTATGCCCATTTAAATTTTTGCATTATAAGCTTATAATACTAGACTGACCATTAGTTCGATCTTGTTGACTATTGATGTGAGCAAAAGGACAGTCTTAATCAAATAATCATGTGTTTAAATAGCTCATCTGACTTCCCAAATTGAGAGATGGTATAACAATATGGAAAAATTCTAATTGACAGATGATATAACCAAAGAGACTGTTGGAAATTCCTTATGCAAATTATACAAATGTGAAAGAATGACAACTGATTTTCCTTTATTACAAATGATACATTCAAAGAATATGAAACTATATATATGAATCACAACATATGCTTGCGCTTATTAACTATGTTTGTATTAATGGATTCAATATAGTGCATATAATCTGAACACCATCTTTTCCTTTGAAAGACTTGTGACCTTGTCAAGCTTTGTGCTTCACTGTGATTTTCTGCCTCTGCAAAGCTTAAAGGCCAGAGGTGTAAGGCACGCCAGTGGCGGGCAACCAAGAGCCACCGGCAATGAAGTTCCCAACGGTGAACTTCGAGGCCTCCGTCGCGCTTGTGATGACATGGTAACCTGCCCATGTGACCCTATTTGCGGTTGACGACCCCGGGCCCGTGTTCATATACTCGCCATAGTATAGAGTCGTAAGGGCAAAGTCACCATCCCACTCCAACCAACCGGCTGCGTTAATTAGGCTATCAAGGTAAGTCTTCATGAAAACAGTTCTTGAATATTGTTGCCACGGCCTCCCGAGGTACGTCTTGACGGAGCTTTGAACCAATTTCAAGTCTGAAGCTGCGGTGACTCTGCAATTGTGGATGGAGATGCCGGTATTCTGGTTGGGGTCGGTTCGACCCTGTGCAGTGATGGTATTGACCTTGTTAGGAGGGTTTTTGGCATAGATGTTGCAATTCTGGAGAACAACGGCAGCATTTCCAAAGATGAAGTCAACCGTGCCATAGATGTCGCACTCTCTGTAGAACTGTCTCTCGGAATAAACATAAAGGGTGTCCTGATAACCCTCAAAGCCACATCGATAGAAGACTGAGAGGTCAGAGCCGGAACGTAGAGCAACTGCTTGGTGATTTGCCGCACCGGCAGTGTTACGGAAAGTGATGTCTTGGGCAATGAATCCGTCACCAACGACAGCTGAAATTCAAGATGAGAAAGATTATTAGTGTGCATGTCTACTTGTTAATGTAATCTAAACCGAAAAGTATCTCGCAAACTAGACAGACCTCTAAATGCTTTATTGACCACGTCACATAGAACCAAATAATTGTCCAACCATATTCACTAATTCTTGCATTCATGATCTTGACCTACTTCATTTAATTATTATATGAACCGAAAGAATCGGACTATTCGTAAATTTAGTACCATTTTTATCTCTTAAAAGCAATCTAAAGGCTATTATATCTATCTAGATGTAGTAATACTTGCCGCCATTTGGAGGCACAAGGGACCAACCAGGAAATTGTGGTAGGAGACTCGTCTCACATATCATAGACATGACGATTTATTATATGTTGTGTCTTTACTGACGTTGAGTGAACAAGGTTGATAGAATATTTAAATAATAAATTAAGGGGAGAAATACATGCAATTTTGAAAGATTTGATTAATCAACAGAATTATTAAATGAAATCTCTAATTATCTCTACCAAGTAATATACATGCAATATACGTGTAATATACGTGCAACATATGTGCATTATATGTGCAATATACGTGCATTATAGGGACATCTTACGGGGGCCACAACATTTAAATAATTGAAAGATTCGTATTGGTTTAATTATTAAATGACGACCATAGTTCGTTAAATTGTCTATTTGACTATTTACTAGATTAGGTTGTTCAAATTATTTCTGTGGATCTGATCGCACGTGGAACACAACACATATCTTAACTTTTTTCGACAGTCCAACTAAATCACAAGTTAAACAGACCTTCGAATCTATGATCTTATAAGGCAAATTAAGTTACTAAGATAAGCCTACCGGCCCCATGAATAGACTAACTGGCTGTTGATAATTCTCTTTTTTCTTCTGCCTTTTTTTAATTACTTTTTTAAGTATTTATTTTGAATAAAATGTACAAAATCATAAATAACTTGAATAAATTAAACTCACCGACTGTTGCTGAATTGAAGGTAGTGGATCCGCCACCAACGCTTTTGGTTCCGGTAATTATGGTCTTTCCAATACCATCGCCCACGAACATAATGTTCTCCAACTTCGATCCAACTTCAACATTCTCATTATAAGTACCGGCCTTGATATAGATTATGTACCTTGCTGTGCCGGACCGTTTCGATGCTGCGGTTATAGCTTCGCTAATCGTCTTGTAGTTCCCCGAACCGTCTTGGGCCACCACGATATTGGCCTTAGACGCCGCAGACGAAGACTGCAAGAGCTTCCTATCGCCGGGCCTCACCCAAGTAGGGAACTCATTGGTGTAGTTCGGCGTAACGTAGGGCACATAGTTTGCAGACAGAGCGTTACTTATCAACTTGGAGACATTATTCGACATTAAGGGCAGCACGTTGTCCGAGACACCGAGCTCGACGAACCCGGCCCGACAGGTCTCGAGGTTAGTCAGGGCTGTACTAAACCATGTCTGCGCATCGTCTTGAGTGCATTGGCGATCAATGGTGCGGTTCAGGCGGAGGACCGTGTGCTCGTAAAGCTGGACGCAGTCGGCCCACGCGGCCTTCTCGCGTTCGTTCCGGCACCTGGAGCCTAGCGAGTGCGTGCTGGTCCGGGCGAGCTGTGCTCTCTCGAGGGCGACTTGCGTTGAGGCCTTGAGGAAATCGGATTTCTGCTTGAGAGGGGTTTGCTTAGGGTTGTGGGTCAAGAAGTACTCACATGGCTGTGGGTAAGGCATCTTGCTACACCATGACTTCGCATCACTAGAGGAATAGCCAGAGATGGTTTGAGATAGCAAAAGAGGCAAAAGGAGAAGGATCATCAACTTTTGATGAAAACCCATATCGACAGTACGAAAGCAAGTAGACGAAGAGAAATGAGGATGTGATGAGACAACTCGAGATTGGTGATCTTGAATTGGGGTTGGTTCATTTGCCTTGGGTTGGTCTCTTTATATAGAAGTGAAGGCACAATGGAGACCAGAGGCATGAAGTTGCACCGCCTTCTTTTGCTTTTTGCCTTGTTATCCTTCCGTTTAAGGAACCTTCGTTTTAATTATTAGATTATATCCAATGGGTTGATTTTGAATAATGAGAATGAACAAAGAAAAAGAGAGAGAGATGTACGCTTGTCAACTAGGACAAACACTGTGACATCGTTCTCTGAGTAGAAATGATTTGTTTATTTCAATGATGAACATAGATTGTGCATTTGACTTTTCTGGGTGCCTTTTGATAGTTGACCAACATCCAAAACGAGGAAAGAGAAGGGAAAAAAGAAACAAGAAGAATCGAAAGGGGTGCAAAAAGAGCTATGAAACGCGTTGTTAACACAGGTGTGCAAATCTTAATCTGTTAATCCATGTAATTAGAGTGCAATGAGCTGCCCGTTTGGAATTTTCAGATAGTTAGATTGGATGGCTCATAGTTTTACGAATCTGAAACTTACTGATTTTATATTATTTAAGGGAATATTACCTTTTCTTTTTCTCCGGGACGACCAGAAAGCAAAAAGATACGAACATCTCACTACCACGCGTTACTATATTATTTGTTTTAGTCTTTACATGATTTTCTTCATTAATATAGTTATGCATGCACGCATGCATGTACACGAGCCAGCAATGAGATGAGGAGATGGGGAGCTTTTCGTGCATCTTTCCTAGGGTTGAATATTTTCTAGTATTGCTGCTCGTTCAATCTTTCATCTAAGTTCCGATTGTATTTATTTATTTTTTTAGTCATCTACGTTCTGATTATGTTGCTATTAGAGGTAAATTTGTCTCCTCTTCAAACATAAATCGCAATTTTGGGTTTATTTGATGTAGCGCTAAGTGAAGATTTGAAATGACTGAGAACTTTCCTGCCTTGATTAATATCATTCGAATGGTGCGGGTTAGTGTGCGCCTCAATCTATCTTTTCATTTTAAAGAATTATATTGTGAAAACTAAAGATTTGTTTTTTTTTTGGTAAAGTAAGATGTATTTATACTTTTAACGCACCAAGTACAAAGAAAGGACGTCGTACTCAAAAACCTCGTACCCTAGGGAACAAGGATGGTGTTCTCACGGGTACAAGGTGTACGATTGAGAAAAGAAAAAAGCCGCGAGGGTGGAACAAGGAGGCCGAACACTCCGGCGAAAGCCAGCTATACAACTGCTAAGCAAATACTAGGAATCAAAAATAGAGGCAGAGATGCCCCAGTTTGCTTGAACTCTCCGGTTGCAGGGACTATCTTCGACGGGTTTAAAGGATAAACCTCTATCTCTCGTCACCTTAATAAGATGGTTGCGGATGGCCGGTATAAAAAGTGGTTTGCTCCTAAAAAGGATATCATTTCTTACCGTCCAAATAATGTGGCATAAGGCGCTTAGGGAGAAGCGAACAATGCGTTGGTGGAAGCTATAGCCACCAATGACCCGTATAGCCCATCGGAGGTTGTTAAGCCACGGTTTATTGCGCCAGGAATGGGGGGATGTTAAACTAGGGACAGGGGGATGTTAAACTTTCATATAAACATGATATGCTAAATGATGTATCATACTATTTTTGGTTCATGAATATGGCCTATTTATTTAAAGGGCTACTCACAGTCTGACACATCACTTAGTAAATCGATTTTATATTCAGTCTCACTAAGTATAGCATTGCTTGTTCAATTCCAGGTTCTAATACAAACACGGTTTATGGCACGTATCTTCAAAGGCCAAAAATAATCATAATTTTGTATTTTCAAGTTATTCTAAACAAGTACAATTTGTTTAAAATGGTCTACACTTGTATTTGCAAAAAATGCATGTGTTCTTTTGGAACTCGAAACCAAAATGATTTCAGATGGACCTTAAAGAAAGCCAATTAAGTCTATGCCGTATTCGATTGGACAAAGCTTAATGCATTTAAATAGGACCCAAATTGTCACAAATTAGTTTAAATTTCATATTCAAACAAACAATATCGTACAAGTCCAAACCCTTTCAAGATGTACCTTCCAAATCAAGAATCAATTTGCTGAATAATTAAAACAGACGTCTATTCCTATTACTGTTCTCCCGTTGGATAACTTATGCCGTGCGTATTGCTTGTACAACCACCTAAAGGATTTTCAAATTATTTCAGCAGCTCGGAATGAACCTTGAAAGGAAATTGGTTTAACCTTTACGAAAAACTGAAATTAAATCTGATTTAACCATGCTTTGATAAACTAAAAATAACAACAATTACGGGTCTTCTTTGATTGTCGGCCAAGTTTGCTCATAGAATATCCTTAAGGATATAAAACTCGCCTAACTTTACATAATTGGTTTCACTAATTCTTTAGTGGGGATACAGAGAAGGCACGTTAGCTTATCTAATTATTGTGTCCCCACGTACCTAAATCAGAAACTGTGAAGTCTATACGTAATCTCTATCAGTCACCAATTTAAATAAGTCCACCTCAGCAATGTCAAGACATCAACGTAACGTAACGGAAAGTGACGGGTGATGTAGGGCATGTTTGTTTCACTTTAAAGTTTTATGATAAAAGAAAATATTTTTTAGAAAGACATTTTTAAGGAAAATTGTTAGGTTCCACTTGTTTGATGATTCAAGGAAACAAACGCTTGATTGAACAATCTTATTAAGTTAGAGGTTTTAATTCAATAAAGTTAAAAATAAAAAGAACAAAACTGCAAAAACAATCAAAGTAAATTAAAAGAACCCGTAATCACTGAACCCCAAGCTTAGCTGCTGCATTTAGACGCCGCCGTGCCCATTGTCGCAATGGTGGCGGCTGCGGTAAACAGTGGTGGGGTGGGTGATGAAAGAGGTGAGGGTTTATGGGAAACTTGGAGGATCGGAAATTCTAAAAAGAAGCACTTTGCTCTTTTTAGCATATGATAATTTGGTAGCGGATGATATATGGTATTTTTAAAAGTAGAAGAGAGTAAGCGATAATAGGGAGAAATGTGCGGATGGATTGTGGGTAACAATTACCTAAGACGAACCGAGCTAGTATTAGGAACTTAAGATGAACTTTAGATGACATCGGATTCAGCATTAAGCTCGAATTGTTGGGAGGCTTTGGGTAAGAAAGCCTTTTCTTAAAAGTTGGGCATTAGACCTATGCAGGTGGCTTTCACCTAGAAAAGTTTGTACGCAATTGGTAGGATTTGAACAAGTAAGCCCTAACTCTTGAATTAGAAATCCCACAATAGCCCAATCAACTGCACCAACCTTGGGGATTGATTTAAATAATTTTAAAAAGTAACTATGAAATCTAAAAAATGGTCGATGAGGGAAATCTGAATTGAAATTTAGAACTTAGACACACATACACACTTACTCAATAATTATCTCGGCTATATCATCGAACCACGAATTTTCCCATTTCATTATAGCTTAGGATCATAACTCATGCTATTCGACAAACCCGTTCTTTTCAAAATGATTAAAATCTGTCATGTAACGTGGCCCGTCACATATTTCTAACATATTTCTTAACACTATTTCTTCGTGCCTAAATCGGCAATTGTGGACATAACCACATTGGCGAATCATAAGTGGATCTTTCTTCGTTAGTTAAGGCAAGCGCGTTGGGCCTTCCTTATTTTCTCCGGTTTGAATGGACTTAGAATTAAGCTGGAACAATCGTATTATTCAATATCTCTACAAGTGAACAGGGTAATCGAACCCTGCAACCACGGTCAACGCCTTTCGGTCAACGGACGACATCAAAGAAAACTTCGCGTGAGACACCGCACGTTGGAAAAACTGCATGCGTTGTGCGGATCAAAACCCTAGAACAATCCGAATCTCTACTTCTATTTCGATAGAAGATAAGGGAGTTGACGTTAGGGGAAGCAGCTAAGCAAGGCGGCTCAATAATCACGTAATCAAACTGATGCACCTAGGGGACCGGCGAACCTGTTATGCGACTAGACGAACCGACGGGCTCGAAGTCAACGATCTCGGATTAAGCTCAAATTTGGTCGGCTGAAGCGAAACGGCGTGCTGATCAATACTCATGCCGTTGGCTATGACTAATGATGGATTTTCGCGATTCGGGATCGTTTAGATGGATTTTTCTATTATTTTAGTATTTTTTATGGGTTAATTTAGTAAATGGCAATTTCGTAATTTTGCGTTTTGATGTTTATTAATCCTAGTAGGGTTAGGTTTGGAGATATATAAGCTTGTTTTAGGGTTTCGTTTAAGCAGACTTTGGATATTTTGATTGTTAATCAATTGAGAGAACAGTTTGTTCCTCGTTATCATTTGGATTCTACTGTTTAGCCTAATTTTTTTCGCGCTTCGGCATCACAAACTGCATATGAAAATTGGATATTGTCTGATCAACGACGTTGAATCTGCAAACTTCTTCTTGAGTTTTGACCCGAAAAAGGGTGTCATGAACGTGTCGTCTTTATCCTCAGAAGTTCTTTTTACTTCACGTTTAGAGAGAGAGAGAGAGATAACCATGGATGACCATTTGAAGAAAGTATATATATCATATAGTGTCTTATAAATTACCCAGTGCCCTGATGAACTGATATCTGTCGAAGTAAATAAATGATCTTTTCTGGAAAAAAAAAATGTCTACTCGATAAGAAAACTTTAGCCTTTTAAAGTATCAATAATAAAAAAAAAATAGTATCGATAAATCCAGATTAGCATATAAGTTAGGGTATGTGGAATGAAGCTGTTATTCTAGAGTTAGTTTTGAACAAAATCTGTACTACGTAATAGTTATGCCCAATGACATGCTGATATCATATCCATGACACAAATCAACTATATGAAATGTCCTTTTTAATGGTTAAAGGTTAGGAGGGACAACTGGTACGATTAGCCATCTAAGCATTACCATAAGGGTTCTACACTCGCTCCGAAAAGTTCAGTTTGAGCTATAATTGGACCACTCGTAGGTGTAGAGGGTCATCACCACAGCCCCATG